CAGCACATTATTGGCTCGCACAAGCCCTTTAATCTTTTCTGCCAAGCTTTTTATAATTTGCTTCTTGAAGTCTAATTTCTGTTTAACATCGCACGTTTCTTAAGCTGTTTAATCCGTTTCAACTGAATGAAATCGAATCTTCAATATAATGCGGCGTGACATCACCTTCTTCATTGGTGATCTCATGCGCTGTACCATAACAGCTGTTCAACTCTGTTTCAATCACATTGGACTCCCGAGCTAGCTATCTGACGGTACCGTGTTGTCTGGGGTTCAGCATTTCCGACTTCATGCCTAGCCTAGCGCCCCGGGCACCCCCACACGGGAAGCTCCAGTGACCCATAGAGTTGGCTGGCGGCGGCCACGGTCACGTGACCTGGCACAGGGCCAGCGGGCGGGGGCGTGACGTCATCTCCGGCCCGGGGCGACGCGCCGGGAGGGACGGCGAGGGGATGGGATGGGCTGAGGTTGAATCGAATGGTAGCGTGAACTGTCTATAGATTCAGTGTTAGGTTAAAGTGGCCGTATCCCTTTGGGAAGCGAGAGTTTGCCGTTGGTTTGCTACGAGGTCTTTCCTTATAACAGCCGGAGATTATTTAGAAAATGAACTTTATTTAGCTGAAACACAAGGCACTAAGATCCTGATAAACTTTTGCTTCTTGTAAATTCCTCATTCGATAAGTGCAGTACAACATTCATTGGAATGGCATGGGAAAAGCAACGCTTGCTAAAACACTTTTTTCAGGAGCTGTCATGGCAACAGCTTGAGTAAAGCAAGCCTTTGTCTATCCATGGGCGATGTAGAGCAGCTGGTAAGCGTGCCCAATGTCCATGGTGATGATTTGAAAGCCATGGGCCTCTGAGTGCCGCGCCTTTCCGCTCCCTGGAACCGATGAAATCAATCGATTATCACCTTCACGACTGAGCTGGAAGCTTCGGGCCGGGTTTAGAAGGCATTTTCAGGCTTCAGGGAGGTCGTATCGGTCCACGTTTTAGGTCGATGCAGCATCGGCGATGCTAGTTAGGTCCTTATTGGATGTTCTGCTCACGTGACATGACTTCTCGAACTGGATAATCTGGATTTATTTCGAATTCTGGTGCTCATTGAGCTGACCAATTTGGCTGAGATCGATGCTGGGGCTGGGACACTGCATTGATGTATGAATAGGGGAAGCGGGGGGAACACCGCCACTGTGGGAAACACCGCCACCCCATCTGGCGGCGAAAGTATGAACTATAAAGTGTAAAAATCCGTTATTTCCTATTAACCGCACGAAGGTAAGCGTCTTCTGATTTGTGTTCCGGTGTTTCAGTGTAATCGAAGCTCATTGTGGCATTTAAAGAAAAATGCACATTTACATATATAAAAAGCAAAATGTCTGTACGTATGTATGTATGTAACGCGTCAGTCACGCTTGGCGGGCTATTGCTCCGGAACGGTGCGGGCTAGGCGGTTGAAATTTTCGACTTAAGTCGGGCGCGTGCATCTGTTTGTCGTACCTATTAAATTTTGGAGGGGGTGGGTTCGGTGGTTTGCACGTGGCGGGCGCATCTTTGCGGGATTTTGGGCCGCGGCCGGCGCCGAGCAGAGAGCACGCGCCTTAGGCTCAGTTTCTTCGCTGCAAAACTGGGTGAAATCAGAGCCGGAAGGTCACTGACCTTTGGCAATGAATACCGGAATAGAGCACCGCCGCCCAGGAGGAGACGCAACATCTATTCTGGGTATAACTCGGCCGCTACTGGGCCGATTTTAATGAAAATTGATTCATTACGCTGCGCGTAATGCTGTCCCTCTAGTTCTCTTATAAAAATTCGATGAGTTGGGAGCACTTTTGAATGTCTTTAAGTAGAGACTCATTTTGATTTACTTGATTACATCGAAAAATAACTAATCGGCTTTGTCCAGTAAGATAGGTTTGCTTGAACCGTGTAGTAACTAGTACATTCTTGCCGCTGGCGATTTTTGCTTGTGATCACTTATTGGGGAACACCGCCACCCCGTGGCGGTGTTACCCCAATTGAGGTTGCGGTGTTTCCTGTTCGTAGCGTGATAAGTGATGAAATTCCAAAGACACGCTTTATTTATGTTCGTAGATGTTCCTAAGTCGGGAATAAGCAGCTTATTTGACTTTTTACTTTATATTTTTCATGCATCCCGACCAAGCACTTGCCAGCTGTATAAAACTGGCAAACAGCTGATGAACCTATAGGGGAGAGTGGGGCACATTCGTGCATGGGGCACATTCGTTTTCAGCAGTTTATGGGAACACGAGTGACTGCACGAGCTCAAGGTAAATTATGGAAATATGTCTATCATTGCCGCCCTTCGTTCACCGTAGAAGACAACACTGTACCTGCTGTCATGCTTGATAAAATCGCAAATTTGTAATATTCATGAGCTTTCCACATATCATCCATTTTCGTGATCCTGACTCGGAAATGTGGTTCAGCTTTTCAAAATTGGGGGTGAAGAAGCCCACTCTATTCACGGAACTGCTGCAAACTTGTTTGTTGAAAAAGTGTCATTTTTTCAAAAAGAAATTTTGAAATAATATTACTAATAACGTTGTGGGGCAGGTTCGTGTACGCACTGCCTGGGGGCACATTCGTGCATATTTTTTTTAGTTTTTGCGATTTATGACTTTATCTGTAATAGGTTTCTCTAATGACGCTCGCCTGACTCAGTCTCGACTGCTTGCGACGTCGTGACGAGCAATTCACGCGAACTTGGCGAGGTCACGGAGGCCGGCAGTTGGCACATTCTTGTTGGCCAGCCCATTCTTTCTACATTTGTTGTGCAATGCATTCTTGTCGAAAGGAATCAAGTGAAATGACCCCCTGCCAATTTCCTTTGGTAAATTTCTGGTAATGCCCGGTAATTTCTCGAATTTTGCCGGGTGAACGGAAGTGCCCCATCTCTTGAACGAATGTGCCCCATAGGTGGGGCAGTTTCGTGCAAATGTTCAGAGTTAATAAAAGTCATTTTTTCTAATGGAAGCAATAATTTTATAGGATAACTTTTAAAGAGGAAAACTATCTGCAATAGTTCCTTTCCATACTACAATCAACAATTTTGCCATTGCACTAACCAAAGAACAGATATATGGGTTTATCCATTTTTTGCACGAATGTGCCCCACTCTCCCCTACCTATTTAGGTGTCCATTACCGATTATTTGCGAAAATTACCACTTACCGACAGGAAACTCATCGCACGCGATCTCTGAACAATCAAAAGCTTTCGTAGGGATGGGTTGGGTTAACATCAACACCGGTGGCGGGGTTACCCACACAATTTGTAGGCGGCAAATATGCAAGGTATTTTTAAAAGTCGTGATACATGAAAACCTTTTAGGAGCATGCAAAATAAGTACCTAAAACACATGAGCAAATGTTTAAATATTGTAACCAAGACAATAACTACCAAGAGACTTCACACATATTCTCTCATTTTGGCGAAAAGCTTAGGGGGGCGGTGTTACCCCCGCTTCCCCTATTTGACGACGGCTGAGCCTGGCTGACACCCGAGTCCTGAGCTGATGAGTGGCAGCAGGGTCTGATTCGATCGTCTGATGAAGCTTGGGTGACTGACCCATAGCGTAACTTTTCTCAAGTCCTCAACAAGCCAGCTTGGGTGGTAGTGTGCCATTTTGACTTTATCTGCATGATAATGTGAATGATACAGCCGCTTTGTCTGGGTCTTTGTTTTTTGTGCTTTGCGGTACAGTCTACTGTTCAGGCGTTGTCTGTGCTGACATCTAGCGGCACGAACGTAAACTGAGGCGTCTTGCGGTACAACCTACGCACCAGGCGTGGTCCGTGTTGGCATCTAGCGGCAGAATTACAAGCTAAGACGCGCTGCGGCGCAGCATACCCACCAGGCGTTATCGGTGCTGTCATCTAGCGGTAGGACAAATAAACTCAGTCGTTGTTACTTATGAGGCAGCATTTTTCATGCACTCCTGGAAACTGGAAATCAGGCTGCAGCGTGTAGGACTATAATGAATCTATGATCCATTTAGTCTTTTTGCAAGTTTTTACGTTACGTCCATCGCAAACCATAGCTCATCCAAAGGAGCTTGTCTGAACTTTCGGCTCTATTTCCCAGGGCCGTTGTAAATCCTCTCCTCTCTCCCAATCAATCCAGTACAACGCCGACTCTGCTACCGTCATCGTGTCTAATTATAATACTAATCGATGTCTGAGTCCGACTGTGTCTGCGTCATAGTCCGCGGCACCCCATTGTGGTCGTTCGAACTTCGATCGTGGGAGGGACTTCCCCTCCTCATTTCCCCTCCCCCCTGTCGCAATTCATTGCCCGTGACTGGGGACTTTTGTTGTTCGGGTGGGTAGTGGGTGGTGTCGCATGAAACTTACAGGGTGGTTACTACTATTGCTGGCTATATTGGCCGCACTAATCGTTTTTTTTTTTCAGGGTCAATTTGGCTAGGTCGGTCTTACGAAGTAAAATGTATATTTGTTGTGCTTTTAAGGGCATTTCGGTTCATGCGGATTGCGGATGTTATACTTTCTTCCATTATATGTTCACTATTGTTGGGTAAAAGTGTTCTATCTTTTATATGGTTACCGTTACCATCTACTACCACTTTGGTATCCTTTTGGTTCCTCTTTCTCGACCTTTCATCCCATTTTTACCCTCACACTTCCTGTCCCTCAATCCTTTCATCCCATTCCTTGACCTTCACGTCCCGCCCCCACCAACCACCCCTTCATCGGTACATATCTTCCCTTTCACCCTCCCCCTTCCCCAGCTGCGTTAGGGTGGCATGTCCTTCCCTCCTTCCCCGCTACCCCCCTCCCCATCACCCCAGTGTTCGCGATACCCCCGCTAGTAACACCACCAAATCCCCCTTCCTATCGTGTCTGGTGGCAATGTTGTGCCCGGCGACAGGCTCGCGCCGCCGCCGGACTGTCGTCACCCATTGATCGCCTAACGTCTGTAGCCGGCGGCACTGACCTGACCTTGACGCCGGCCCACAGACCGGGTCGGCGGAGACAGCTGACGGCGACGGAGGCGGTAGATAAGGCGGAACAAGCGGAAAAGTCAGAAGATAAGGCAGCGGACAAGAGGAAAGGCGGAGGAAAGGCCAGAGTGGCGGAAAAAAGTGGAGGGGGATAAGTGACAAGAAATAAAAGCGAACCAGCGAAAGGCAACAGAGAGGGCGAAGGAAGGCGGAAGGAGTGTGCTGCGTGACCTGGTGATCATGTGATCTGTGGTGACCGGTCACCTGTATGCAGCGCAGTGACCTGTGCGCAGTGACTCAGTGAATCTGGGCGGTGGTCGCCCGGACAGCCCTCCAACCCTGAGAGCGCGCCGCGGTGGACGAGGCTAATAGTGAACACGGTTACCGTCCCACGATTGTACTCAACTCTCTCGTCAGATGACGTCGTCATTGTGCCGGTGACGTCACACCGGTGGGAGTGGTGACGTCACCGGTGTGACGAGGAGTGACGTCATCAGCCGTCCGTGACGCTGCCAGTCGTCATGTCCAGCGGAATCATACAAACTCTGACCGAGGTGAGATGGGAGTTAAGAGCAAATGGGTTGGAGAAAGTCGAAAAGGTAGTGGGTGCTTTTTAGATTGAAGGAATTTTATTTTGCTAATTGTTATTCGTATTTCGCATATCCTTGTTCGCTACCGTAAATTGTAACAGGTGCCGTCAGTTACCTCTTAGGTGTTAGCAAATTTAATAGGTATCGCTCATTATCTCATAGACATAAAAAACAACTTCTTAAGTATCTTTATATCAGTGTTCTTTGTATCATCCTTCAAGACTGAACCCATACAATCTTCTGAACCATCCTCACATCATGCTAACGAGGCGCCACCAACCGCTCTGCCATATCGCCTGCCTTTGATGAAGCGACATCACGCAATACCCCGAGCGCAAAGCGCCTACCAAGCACGACCAGACGCTGAGACACCGGAATTTAGTCATGTTCTTAAAATCAATACCGGGTGACATGGCCTGATCCAGACATATGGGGTTAACGAGCTGTCCTCAGGTTTAATTACGATAGATTCAGCAAAGTGGTTCGCCCGATTTCCGGGTTCACATTGTATGGAATCTTCACCTCACATGCCACGGGTGGGCCTTACGCTCGGTGTCGATGAGATTACTATGTTATGGGGCTCATGGGTCTCCTGAAATAGCCAAATTGCGGATCTGAGATGCCATCGTTCCGTGCTGATTATGGACACACGGTCAGGAGAAAGTGGATTAATTATTACTTCTTCGGAAGCTGGAAATGATTTTTTGGTCCTGCGTCATTTTCGACTTTTTTTGCAATACTTCACGTAGACCTCACTAAGCCCGCCGGCCCCCATTGACCTGACCTTCATCGTGTGCTTTCAGCGGGAGCCGGTGAAGTTCGAGATCCCCACCGAGGGACTTAGCAGCGCCGAGCTCCGGCTGGTCAAACACATACAGGAGGTAAGTGGCGAACTACTGTCTTTTCCGCGCTTACTAGGGACTCAACTTGGCTTTCAATCGGAAAGCTCGTAGCGCATACCACGTCTGACTGCTTTGATGTCTGACTGATTTCTAATGACTGCTGTTCAGGGACACAGTTTTGCTGGATATGTCGGGGAGCTTGAAGCCTTGTGTGTTTTCGCATTTGCGATATATGTAATACTCTTTGATTGATTCTCACCTTTCATCTTTTCTTTGTGATGCCAAAACATATGTGACGGCTATTGACTAAGCCGCGATGCAAACAGCGTAAGATCTAAGCTCCCATGAAGTGCTCTCCGAGTCTCATAAACCCAGCCTGGCAACCAGACCACACCGGAAGCTCGCACTAAACGCAGACAGCCCTCTCACGGCCATTCCCTCTCAGTTTGGCTCAACTACAGAGGATTCCACGCCACACGCTATCGCAGCGCCAGAGTCTGTGTTGGCCGGGAGGGCGGACCCCCCCCCCCTTCCCCCATCCCCCCGGGACGACCGCCAGCTGACTTCTCTCCGGGTCACTGGGTCTGTCGTGACGTCATTGTCCCATCAGTGACGTCATGTGTGTCCCCGGAATGACGTCAGCCCGCCTTTGGTGCCATTGTGTTCTGTAGGCGTTCGTTGTTGCTCGATTGGGGTTTTTGTGGGATGTTTTTGTTCGGTCTAGTGCGGCTGAATGGGACGAGCTATATAGGGCATTGGCTGTGAGGACAATGAACTAGCCATTAATTGCCCGGATACACATTATACAAAGCAACACAGCTGTTGTTTATATCTTGGGATGGGTTATGGCAAAGTTATGGCATTTACATAGAAGTGAAGTTATTTAAAAATCCATACAAAGTGCAAGCTTCATGCAAACGCGAGTATTTCACGCCTGTATGCCTGCCTGCCGAGCTGCCAGTTTTCATATGGGTGGTTTCATTTCACTATCACTTCATATCAGCGTGTGTGCGTATGTGTGTTTGCGCGCGTGTTGTGGTGGTGGGCGGAATTGCTCTAGGCGTGGAGCAAAACCGACGGTTCCGCCCCCATCCCCCTGCCCCCCCCTACCCCCCGCTGAGAGTAGGATCGATGGTCCAGAGGCAGCCGCCGGGTAAAACGGTAGAGCTGCCGGAGTGACATTCACGGACTGTTGGGCACATAGCTGCAGGTTTTGCTGCATTGAGACCTATGTAGTTTTTTATACAGGGTATGAATTCCACGAATTTGTCTGGCATTGGTCGTCATTTCAGCCTTTTGTCGAGTTATTGGGTATAAATACTTCAAACAACAGGTATCTGAGGACAAGCCACCGTAAAAAGAAGTTTCCCCCCATTATGGACGGAAATTGGCGTCCCCTGCCTTTACATTGGCAGCTCCTGCCAATGTAAGGACGTTCCCCTGACCCTGATGTTCCCATGTTACTAGGTGACTGAAGTCTCGCTCTACCACTGTGGAACTTCCCCCTGACCCTGCCGTTCCCCAATGTTGTCAGGTGGCTGAGGACTCGCTATACCACTGGAGGACGTTTCCCCTAATTCTCCCTCCGCCTGTGGCTGTCCAACACAGAGATGTGGACTCGTCTTCACTGGCGCGACGGAAACCCATCATCATCAGGTGAAGGGCGGCTGTTTGATGATTACGGAGCGAGCGAAGCGAGCGTAGTCTTTCCTTAGATTAACGGAAATTTCTGAGTATGAGCGGCCGGCCGGCCGGCCGGCCGTGGTCACGCTTTTGCGAGGCTTATATCTCAGCAACCACTTGACCGATTTACACGCGGTAATTTTTGTAGGGTAGCTTCATTCCTTCTACCAAGTATTGGACTATTCCTGATGCATGTGGGTGACCCCTTATGCACGTGCCACGTGCAAAACGAAGAGGTGTCCGTTTTGTAATTGTTGCAATATCTCGGTAACTACTTGGCCGATTGCGCTGAAAGTTGGCATGTAGGTAGGCACCCACTAGGCACTGCATATCCATGTGCCACAGTTGGGGCGCTGTTGCACGTGCGCACGTGCAGGGGTCGTTTCCAGATCTCGAGAACGGCTGGACCGATGGCGCTCAAATTTGGTACACGGTTAGGGACCGGTTAGTAGGGTGCCGTGCACAAGTCAGTTGGGACCCTTTCTGCACGTGCGCACGTGCAGGGTGCCGCTTCCAGATCTCGAGAACGGCTGGGCCAATTGTGCCCAAATTTGGCACATCGCTAGAGACCGGTTAGTAGGGTGCCGTGCACAAGTCAGTTGGAGGTACCCCCTCGCAATTTCGCACGTGCAAGGCCCACCCTCTCGCTCGCTCCGTTAGTCGCCCCAAAAGGCGTTATACTGGTACTTGAGTATGGCTTGGTTGAGACTTGAAATGTTTTGTTTTTTTCTTCCATTACGGATACACTAGGAGAGACCATTTGTGTTGCGAGAACGCAAATCCTTGCCTCAGCCTCGGGTGTGAGATTTATCTTCTTGAGGCAAAGTTTTGCATTCTTGTTTTGCTGATTTTCTTCATGACAATTCCAGTTTGGTGGAATTTTTGGGAAGTACAAACAGCCTTCAATACATCTATTCATATCTGCGTATCCATTAGCCCTTCACTTTCATCGTGTACCACAAGCTCGCTAGCATTTAGCCTTTTCACTTGTTTGTTTACAGATACCTGTTTGTTGTGCCGTGTCCACTGTACCGTCCCTCATGTTTGTTCTCAGAGATCTGTTTGTCGCGCCGTGTTTCGATGAGCTGGAGGCAGTCGCCCTCGACTCGGGCGGGGAGCCGCGCAAACTCAGCGGAAAACAGCTGGCCTCGGTCCGGGAGACTGGGTGAGTGACCTGACATGACCCGTGACCTGACCTGTGGTCTGATCTGTAACCTGATCTGATTAGTGACCTGACTTGACCTAATGTTACAATGACCTAATCTGGCCCGATCCGACCTTTGACTTGTGTTGTGACCCTATCTTCCTGGTAATCTGACCCTGCCGTGACTTAATCTTTCTTTGGTCTTACCTGACCTGAGATGGCCTGACCTGTGACGCAATATGACTGGTGGCCTGACCGTGGTGTTACCTGACCTTAGTTGAGTTGTGATGGTGTGGGTCTGTCTGATCATATAACAATCGGTGTCCTTGACAATCGGGTGTTGGTTTAGAGGTTTGGAAGAGGCATTGTCGGTTATGGGTCATACATTGTGTGCGCGTGTTCGCTCTTTTACTCTCTTAATCTGTTAGTTAGTCTACGCATTTGACTATCAGTTCACACACTAACTTTTCGTAATAGTGTATTTTGATGCTTTGGAAACAATTGCCATCCTAGTTTGATGCAATTTCAATGAGAGCAAATGTGTTCTCCAGCGGCCCATATTGTCTTTTGAAATCCTGGTAATACCATCGGGCCTAAATTGACCAGCCATTGGGTTGCAGAAGTGGCCACTTGTCATTTTGAAACTTGCCCATGATATGGTATTTTCCGGTGACATTTTCTTTCAGTAATCTCTCAGGATCAATCATCTAGCTTTATTTCCAGGACCATTAGAATTTCATTCATACATTGGCATTACAGACCCAATGTATCTGCGGAAATGCCATCAAGCTATTTATTTTTTGAAGATTTTTTATTGCTGTAGGCAACATTCATGTGAACTACCATAATAAATACGACTTGCCCAATCAAATTCTGATTCGCCATTCTCGCTTCTAATCCTACCATCTGCCTACGCTTTGCTTACGTTCGGCTTACTAGACGGCTTTGTGCCAATCGCTCATGGGTCCCAAAAGCCGAGACATTTGCCTGGCATGGTGGGGCTGCTGCCGGTGCTGCTACCTGTGGTCGGTGGCGGTAACTAACAGTTGGGACTGTGTGCGTGCTGTGGCGCTGCAGCAGCTGCAGCAAGGCCAAGGCTTTGCCCCGTCGACGTCTTTCTACGCACCAGCTCCGCTCGATTCGACGACGAGGGTAGGTCAATGTTCACGTACTTTTCAAAGTTCAAAGTCACGTGGTTTTCAAGGCCAAGGTCAAACGGCTCTGACCACTACTGAATGTTTTTGTGCTTGTTCTGTACATTAACAGCATGGATCAAAAGCATGTAACTAATTGCTTTGTTATGGCGAGGCGCTAGCATAATCGTTTTTTCGTCATTACGATTTCCTATTTTGTGCACGTGTATCATACTTTTCGTACTAGTGTGTTTTTGCATGCATAGCTGGCAATGGAAATGAAACGGGAAATAAAAGAAGGCAGCGTTTCATAATCCTCTAAATGTAAATTTTGACGGACCAGCTGCTACCATCCGACGTTTGTGTAGGTGGTCGCTAGTTCTTTAATATCCGTTGTGAACCAAGACCTTTTTTTAGTGTGATCACCTATTTTTTGGGATGTTTTTAGTTTTATTCTCTGCAGTGTGCTGTCGTCTCGTATCTTTGTGCCTGAGTATGATTTGATATATTTTTTACATCACCAATATGTTGTACATTTACAATGTTTTGGATGGAGTGAGGATCGAGCGTCGAGGCTTTGAATCGAGATGCTAGACTGATGTGTTGAGTGCGCTTGGCGCAATTAAATGTTGTTTGTTGGTATTGCCTTGTTTCATTGCATCAGACACGTGTGTTCTATGTCAGTAAGTTATAGCCTGGCTTGTGATGTGCCAGATTCATTGTTTTGTTGTTTCTTATATGTTACAGTTTCTGAAGTGGGCTATGTGGCCCGTTGCTTCAACTGTTTAATAAGATTGCAGGTTGTCTGTAACAATCACTGTGATAATACTCGTTGGTTTTAATTCGTCATATCAACCGTCCTTTTGAATAAATAATGTCATGATTGTCAATCTCTCAGCACTTTGTGTGCCATTTCTTCGTTTCTTACCCTCCAATTCTTGCGACATAACTTGCTAATGATTGACATGCCCTTACTCCCTTTTGACCCGTGACCTCCTATGCCGCCTGGCCTCAAACTGCCCTCTGTATCTGATGTCTAACCTCCATTCCCTGTATCTGACCTCGGTGACCCTCTCTGACCTGACCTGACCTAACTCTCTCAGCGAGTTCGAGGTAGAGTCTCTGAACTTCACCGGCCAGGTGCACCGATGGCGTCTCTCCGAGCTCCTCCAGAAGGGAACCGAGCGGTCCTTCATCACCTACCAGGACGACCTGGCGCTCTCACTCAGGTGAGAGGGGTCTCTTACTCAAGTGAGGTAAGACTTGGGTGGGAGAGGGTTTGGTGCTTTAAATCGGGTGGGGGGAGTTCCTAGCACTTTCACCTCGGTGAGCTGGGTCTCACCCAGATGAGACAGGACTGTGACGCTCTTACTCAAAAGGAACAAGTCTCACCAGTTGAGGTGAGTACCAAGTTGAGCGAGGGTCGAACAAAATGGAAACCGTGGAGGACTGAGTCTTTCAAATTACAAAAAGTCGAATTATTGAATGGCGTTTACTCACGTCAACTCTGGGCAGTGCGTGGTGCGTTTAACTGAATAGTTTTTTTTTTACCGTGCGCTCCAGGTTTCTCATCATCACCGCACGGGGTCGGATCGGCTCGCATTTCTTCTCACTCCGGCGGTCCTTGAAGTCGCTGCTGCGGGGACTGACGCTACTGCTTGGTAAGTGAAGTGGACGTTGCATGATCGGTACTCTGCACTTACGTAGTGTTACGTTTAGAGCAGTGGTCTCTAAGCTTTTCTAGGATAACGGTACACTAAGGAGCGTGTTACTGTTATATTTGGCTACTGATCTGAAGGATTGGGTAGTATTTATGGGACCATTATTCCTAAGGCAATCTTGATCTTCGTCTTAACAATCTCTAATGTATCAAAAAAAGTGTATGCCCGGTTGGTATCTCAGCTTCCCAATGTCTTCACTTCTCGGCCTTTTGGCTTAACGTTTTTTTTTATATTTCAGACGTGTTGCTGGGCTTTCCCTCCACCAAGAGCTGTAATCTCGACTCAAAACTGATGGAGGAGCGGTGCAAGTACCTGGTGACCGAACTGGTCTGCAAGGTACGATAATGATCTCTAACAAAGCTTATGTTCAAAAGGTAATTCACGACGAATATTTATGTTCATGCCAATTAAAGGCAGATGCTGAATGATGGATGGTATTAAATTTTAGCCCGCGGCCGCTAACCGCCCTGATCTTATCTGTTGATTGGCTCGGGGTATTATTTATGAATTAATGACGTGAGCACCATAAAATCAATGTCATGGAGGGTCGTAGTACAATTATACTTTTATGACCCCCTTGAAACGGGAGACAGTTCTGGAGAATTTGTGCGCCCTTCTGACCCCTCTGACCCCTCTGAATCCCTATGACTACTCTGACCCCCCCCCCCCCCCCCCTCCCCCAGCCGGACCAGGAGGTGGCTCTGGAGGAGCTGTGTCCTGACCCCTCTGACCCCCCCCCCCCCCCTCCAGCCGGACCAGGAGACGGCTCTGGAGGAGCTCTGCGCCTACATGCGCCGTCAGCTGGCGCGCCTCCGACTGGAGAAGTACCGCCCCTCCGAACAGGACCGGCCGCCGCTCATATACACCTTCCACACCCTGCACGGGCTGACGGTCGACCTGCGACTGTTCAACAGGTGCGAACGCCTCCCATTTATTCCATATAAAATATAGAGTAAATGACTGTAATGCACTGCAGGCAGCAGGTATATTAGTTATGCCTGCAGATGCCGAGATAGATTCCAGTACCAACTTGAAAATATGGCAATGCTCTTTAGATGACTGGCTGCCTTTTTCCTTTCTCCAACCTGTAACACCTGACCATTGCCGTCCTATGATTGGTTTTATCACATGACCGTCTCACGGCCCTCTGTCCTGCTCCACGTGACCTCACCTGGTTCCCTATCTCTCGCTCACGTGACCCCTTCTAATCTCTCATCCCCCGTTTTCAGGGAGGTGATGCGTCGCGCCGTGCCGGTACTAAGCGCCATCCTGGAGCGGGAAGCGCGCGGCTGGTTGGCGCCATTTCGGGAGCGCGTCATCACGGAGCTCAAGGGACAGGAGCTGAGCGATGAACAGATCCAGGCAGTAAGACGGGGCGGGAATAGGTTTGGAAGTGTGTCTAGACAGGAACTTAGAGATTGTTTGTTTGAAGGATAGAGGATATTGTGTCTTTGGCTACCAGCTCGAATCAGGCAGGAGAGAAGATTGAGTACCCACATTTTTTTAGCCCAGCTAGTTTGCTTTCTACTCTCCTAAAATTATACAACATATTATCATGTTATTCACAGCTGAATGATGCTGAATTTGTGATATATTTTATATTGTGCTGCATTAAACCAGCCGTCTTTCAGTGTCCATCAGTAATTCATAATATCCCTCCCCTCCTCCTCCCTTCCCCTCCCCGCAGAGCGCCAACCGGGCGGTACAAGACGAGTACCTCCGGCGGGTATATGACCCCTCCCCTACCCCACAGAGCGCCAACCGCGCGGTGCAAGACGAGTACCTCCGGCGGGTACTGTATATGACCCCTCCCCTCCCCACAGAGCGCCAACCGCGCAGTACAAGACGAGTACCTCCGGCGGGTATATGACCCCTCCCCTCCCCACAGAGTGCCAACCGCGCGGTACAAGACGGATACCTCCGGCGGGTACTGTATATGACCCCTCCCCTCCCGACAGAGTGCCAACCGCGCGGTACAAGACGAGTACCTCCGGCGGGTACTGTATAATATGACCCCTCCCCTCCCCACAGAGCGCCAACCGCGCAGTACAAGACGAGTACCTCCGGCGGGTGATGTACATATATGACCCCCCCCCTCCTCTCCCCACAGAGTGCCAACCGGGCGGTACAAGACGAGTACCTGCGGCGGGTACTGGACGCCGTGTACGCCAGTGAGGAGCTGTCACAGCTGGAGGAGGGAGTCAGCAGACTGCTGGCCGAAAACGCACAGAGCAGGGTACTCATGCACAGGTCAGTGGTGCGAGAGATACCACACCAGGGGGAATTGGGAAGGGGCTCAAACTTGCGAGTCATAAGATATCTCGTAATGAAAGGGAATTCGGCCATTTGGATTAGTGCTTAGGAAAACCTGATGCTGTGTTTTCTGTACTGACTAGGATACCATCCCTTTTCTATAGGTACATGAACCATTATGTTGCCCTGATTGGTATACTCTGTAAATGTGCGTGTACCTAATCCCTCGTAACTAACACCTAATACCTAGCATCCGGTTTCCCTCCTGTTCTTTTTGCGACGACTCATGACCCCGGCCTCCTGAGACCTAACCCCTCCTTGACTGTGCTGTAGGGCTGTGGAGAACGTGGCTCGGAAGTTGGACAGCTTCCAGCGCGGCCTGAAGCACTACCTGGAGACCCATCACCCGGTCAAGTGCCGCATCCCCGCCTGGGTGCGGTTACAGTTCAGGGAAGCCGAGGTCAGTACCGGGTGACGGACATTGTTGAGGCCAGGTATCTAATTGACAGTATATAACGATGGTATATATTTAGGAGTAGAATATAATACATGTGCTGCTTTATGCGTAGTCAAAGAAGGTTGGCCCAGGGCACAGATCAAAAGCTTTAAAGGATAGATAATTAGATCAACGGTCAGCTATGCAGTAGTCACTTGTACCCCCCCCCCCCCCGTACAGAGCCGGTTCATCTCTGAACACCAGTGGGCGGCCCACGAGGAGGCTCTGACGCTGTGTCGGGAGAGTGGTCTCCAGCAGACGGCCTACTTCCTCCAGAGAGACCTCACCTTCATGAAAGAGGTATGTGATGCCACAGACGGCGATACACAGATTGAATTCCATATCTAAAAGTAGGTGTCGGAGGGTCTCGGTTTGTGTGGCAAAGTCGTATATCGGCTGACTTCGCTACCGAGCTGACAAACGGTATTGCGGAGAGCCTGCTCACCGATGCTTGGCCAGTCCGCTCTCCCTCCCCTAGTTGTCAGTGCACATTGTCTGCTCCCCTCTGTCTAAATCAATCTGGCCAATCCTGTTTCTTTCTACGCCAGTCTTACTCAGATTTGTTTTTCAATAAAAAAACACGACTCCAACGAATGGTGTTTTCACCATTGCTCACAAACCTGCGGTAAACACTCCCTTTTTCACTGCAAGTCTGACCTTCCCTCCCTCCATCCCTCAGAGGGAGCCGGTGCTACAGAAGGAGCTCCGTCGGGTGACCACACCCACCCGGCAGTTTGAGTGGCGGACGCACATCTGGCTCTGGGCCAACTGGACCGTTCACAGGCGATTTCAGGTGAGTCTGAAGCTGGAAAATCTCGTATCAGGTATGGATGACGGAAGTGACACTGTTATTTTTAGCGAAAATATGTTTTGAGTGAT